TCACCCAAAAGCTAGGCTTCAGTCGATGCCTATCATTGGAGAACCCTTTTCCCGCATAGCCGTTGACATTGTGGGTCCACTGGCCAGGGCTAGCCCATCCGGTAAGAAGTATATTCTCACCGTGGTGGACTATGCCACACGTTATCCAGAGGCAGAAGCGCTGTCTAATATAGAGGCAGAGACGGTTGCTGATGCCCTGGTTAAGGTTTTCACTAGGGTCGGGTTCCCTCAGGAGATTCTCTCCGATCAGGGAACTCAGTTCACCGCTGTGCATACCCAGCAGCTGTGGAAGGTGTGCGGTATTAAACCTCTGCTTAGCTCACCGTATCACCCACAGACTAACGGTCTCTGCAAGCGATTTAATGGCACCCTCAAACAGATGTTGAGGACCTTTACTGACACTTGCAGAGACTGGGAGCGATTCCTGCCTCATCTGCTATTTGCGTACAGAGAGGTGCCTCAGGAATCTACTGGGTTCTCCCCCTTTGAGTTGCTTTATGGGAGAAGGGTCCGTGGACCCCTAGATCTCATTAGAGGACACTGGGAGGGGGAGACAGAGCAAGAAGGGACCCCCATAGTACCATATGTCCTAGAACTCCGGGACCGCATGGAGAAACTATCCCTGATGTTAAGGGAGAATCTCCAGGCGGCCCAGGGGAGACAGAAACGGTGGTACGATCGGGGTGCCCGACAGCGGGTCTTCCAGGTTGGGCAGAAGGTTCTGGTACTCAAGCCTGTGAAGACGAACAAGATGCAAGCATCTTGGCAGGGCCCGTATAAAGTGTTAGCTCAGGTATGTGATACTACCTACCTTATAGCCAGCTGTTCAGATGAAAGGATTCAGCAATCCTTCCATGTGAACATGCTGAAGGAGTATCAGGAACGACCAGAGGATGTTGCGGCAGTATGTGCCCCAGCTACTGACGACCCGAGAACTTACCGTTACCTGACTTGTTAGAGAGGGATTCCCAGACAGACCTTACTAGTCTCGTACAGCTGGGGGACCGGCTAAACCCGGCAGAGAAGGTACAGGCAAGACAGTTACTGTGGGAGAAGCAGGCAACGTTCTCCCAAGAACCCGGATACACTACCCTAGCTGTACACAAGGTCGAGACACCCGGACAGAACCCCCTACGACAACCCCCATACCGTATCCCTGAAGCAGTCCGAGAAGGAATGCGGAAGGAGATACAGGAGATGACCAGGCTGGGGGTTATCGAACACTCAGACAGCCCTTGGGCCTCGTCTGTAGTTCTGGTGCCTAAGAAAGATGGGACCACCCGGTTCTGTGTGGACTACAGGGGGGCTCAACGAGCGGACCACCACTGACGCCTACCCTATGCCCCGGGTAGACGAGTTATTAGACCGTATTGCCAGGGGGCGCTACCTGACCACCATTGACCTGTGTAAAGGTTATTGGCAGATTCCCCTGGCCGAGGACGCTATCCCTAAGTCGGCATTCGTCACCCCATTTGGCCTATACCAGTTTAAGGTTATGCCATTTGGGATGAAGAATGCTCCGGCCACGTTCCAGCGTATGGTGGATAGGCTCCTCGATGGCTTCCAGGACTTTGCATGTGCATACCTGGATGACATTGCGGTCTACAGTGAGTCCTGGGAAGACCATTTAGTACACGTAGGGGTGGTGCTGGACAAGATTCGGGCCGCAGGCCTGACCTTGAAGCCAGACAAGTGCCATCTAGGCATGGCAGAAGTACAGTACTTGGGTCACAGAGTAGGATGTGGAAGCCAGAGACCAGAGCCAGCCAAAGTAGAGGCTGTAGCTAACTGGCCCATTCCTATCACCAAGACCCAAGTGCTGGCCTACCTGGGGACGGCAGGGTATTACCGACGTTTTGTCCCCGACTACAGTACGGTTGCCAAGCCCTTGACTGACCTGACTAAGAAGAATTTACCTAAGCAGGTCCTGTGGTCTCCAGCTTGTGAAGCCGCATTTCAAGCACTCAAGCAGGCTCTTGTTAATGCTCCTGTCCTGGCTGCCCCAGTCCCTAACAAACGTTTTCTTGTCCACACAGACGCTTCCATGTATGGACTGGGGGCTGTGCTGAGCCAGGTCGGGGAAGATGGAGGAGAGCACCCTGTCGCATACCTAAGCAGAAAGTTATTACCTCGGGAAGTGAGTTATGCGGCAGTGGAGAAAGAGTGTTTAGCCCTGGTCTGGGCACTGAAGAAATTGAGCCCTTATTTATACGGGCAGGAATTTTCACTTATAACAGACCACAATCCCCTTGTCTGGCTTAACCGGGTCTCAGGAGACAATGGCAGACTGCTGAGGTGGAGTTTGGCACTACAGCCTTACAACTTCACCATCAGTTACCGACCCGGTAAGCAGAATGGGAATGCAGATGGGTTATCTCGGCAAACAGACGTCCCTACTCCTTCTCAGTCCGGTCATCCCCAAGTTGACCCGCCAAAAGGTCAAGCCGGGTCTGCCGGAGTGTTCCACAAGGGGGGAGCCGTGTGACAGACCCATCTGTCTGGATTAAAAGTACTGTGTTCGTCTGTTTTGCCGTTTGCATGAATTTCCCCGTTCGTATGCTTTGTTTAAGGGAATGTCGGTCTTTGTCGAACGGAACTACCGAACGGACGGCCACCCAGAAGAGAAGTGTGCTGCTGGTTAACCTATTGATCCCAATTAGAACGTTGCGGTTAACCACAGACACTTCTCAATTAAAACCGAATGCCGGGTGGTCGTCGTTCGTATGTCGACCACGAGGCGGCGGCCATTTTAACCATGCGAAATACCAGCGGTGTTCGACGATTATTTCATGGAACTGAAAACGGACACTTTTTCCACCGAACACCGCTGAAGCCGTCGACCTCCCCTTCTCAATCGACAAAAGCATACGAATGCCGGCCGTTCGGGAGATTCAACAACACGAATGGACTTAACCCAGATAGCCGTCCCATGGAGTCAATCGCATACCGACGAACTGTAATAGACTTTGACTCCATGGCGATTGAACTACACGAATGGGATCTGAGCGCTATTCATCAATAATATGCACTCAGATCCAGGCTATCTGGGGATGTGTTACACGAATGCAATATGTTCGGCAGTTATAAAGTTATGTATTTTTATGTGTTTTATGACTTGTACTTAAAATGGCGATTTGCCTCTGCTCTGGGAGATAATTGCATTACTTCCCAATTATCTCCTGAGCAGAGGGGAGGGAACTGTGATGCATGCTGGGAATATTGTGGGGATGTATGTCCAAAATGTCCCCAGGTCCTTCTGTCCTTTCAGTCTCCCATTTGGTCCCCTAGGGAGTGTCCACCAAGTGGGAGACCTGCATAAATACCGGGCAGGTAGCCCACAGTAAATCAGTTCATGTTTTACCCTCACAGCGGAGCTTGGTCTCGTTATTGGGGGGATTTTATTACCGGCGCTTAGAGACTGCTTATTGGAATTATTTGCCGCTTGGAAGTTATTAGCGTTCGGCTAATATTGGCAGTTGGTGGATTTGGAGCTCGTGGAGGGAAATAGCCGTACAGGTACCGTTCGGGAGTTTGGAGTGTTCCCTAGCTGGCGGTTCGCATGGTTTTACTATACACGCTACCAGCATACATTATTGCGAACGGGGAGCATTCACTAAACGGCGGTTTGTACATTTCATTACTGGAGGTACCGTAACAACGTACATACAAGTAATGGCTCACTGCTGCAAGTTCAACATCACATCCACCAAGGAAGAAAAGGAAGCAACAGAGAGTAACATGGTTCACCATGCTACATGGCTTCTGCTCTGCAGCACAGCCAAGAAGGAACAGAGAGGAATGGAGAAAGGGGGAAGTAGTTATCTCTTTCCTGACTTGTAAAGGTATTACCCAATTACCATTTCAAAGGGTAAAACTTATCCCACTGTAAGAAAGGCAAACATGAGCTTGGTCACATGACCCCTGGTCACCATATTAGTTTGATGACAGAATGTCACCACATTCCCTCACTTTTTCTTCTCTTATGTTGAGCACATTTAAAAATAATATTATATCCCTCTTATCTATCTAAACTATGAGATCTGAAGTAGGAAAGGGGAGCACAGGAATTATAGTGAGTGATATAAGCAAGGTGAAAGAAAAGTCAAATAGGGGTTGCATCAACCCACATTCCCCCACTTTTTCTTCTTTTATGTTGCTCCGTTATCTAGTTATCCTTCTAGTACAAGAGAACCTAGTGGGAGCAAAAACCTGATATACAGGAGAAATTCAACCCACCGTCCCTCCGGAATAGTTCCCTCAGCGACATACGTTCTCCTGTACTTTCCTATGGCTGTCAATTCACATATTATACAGTGTCACAAAAAAACAGAACTTAAAGAATTTAGGTGAGTGTGTGTGTGCAATGTAAAACTTTATTGAAGAATGTATGAGAGAGAGAGAAAGAGAGAGAAAGAGAGAGAGAGAGAGAGAGAGAGAAACAAACAAAAAAAATCCCCCTTTTCAAGTTTCTTTCTCGTCTATTTCATAGCCACACAAAAGTATAGTGTAATTATGAGCATGAGTACTAGCGGCAAAGTTTGTAGGACTGGATGTGATATTTGCAGAATTCCATACTCTCAATCCAGTTCCGACTCCTCCCAGTAGAGCTGCAAATTGTCCCGTTTTTCCTGACACCCTGCTTTGCCTAAAACACTGTCGCCGTTGTTCTGGACACCTTGGCGGAATAGAAGGATCATTAAAATATAGACTATAATCTTCTCCCTTATTTGGAGTATCTTCTGGCCGTATTGCCTGTCTCCCATCCCTACTGTGATACAGCTTATACTTATCCATCCTGTAACAAGAATCCACTACGATCTTCTGTTGACACACATCATCATCCTAATACAGCTTTGCCTTGCTCTGTGGGAACACTAGATCTCATCATTAGAAAGGTATA